GCAGCTAAATCTATCAATCCATCCCGTTCAGAGACAGTACACGTATCGCCTTCCCGTTCAGTGAAATGCCACAAAACTTACTTCTTTGTTGGTCTGTACAGGGCTTGTAGATAACTGGTACTAAATGTTCTCCATGATACTTGTCAGTTTGTTTATAACGTGGAGTGTTTCTCGTTGCACATTTTAGTTTTTTCACCGTTTTTCTCAAGGCATTTTCCCCTGTGTTCTCTGTCTTGTACTTGACGCTTGGCATATTTTCTTATTTCTCTTGTCTCCTAGGCTTCTGGTGGCACTCTCAGCACACAATTAGTATTACCCATCCGCGCGAGTATTGTGCCCACACCGGATCGATCGTAAGTCTTTTTTGAAGCTGTCTTTTGCGCGGGGGGAGGGGAGGGAGTGTATTTTATCACCAGAAAAGTGTGCAGTAACCTAGTCCATTTTTCTCATAGTGGTACGTAGTATTCTATCTCGACAACCTAGTTGCTTTCGTTTGAACTGGTGAATAGTATTACATTGCTGGTTCTCACCCTGAAGCGTATTTGTTCCTGATAGACCAAATTGGTTTGTCCCATGACAGTTGCATTTCACCCTCTTCTGATTCCAGACTGTGTACAATGGTCCTTATAATAAACTAATTTAAGTTTAAGTTTTTACAACCATTAACTATGCAATTTTGTGCACTAGTTTTGATTGCTGCCTCCTGGACGCTCATTTGGATAAAATACCAGAATGAGGGTTGAAATGTTGAGAGCAAATTCAAACGGAAGATAGGGAATTCATGTAGACTGAGGTTGCAAGAATATTGAGCAGATGCTTGAACGCCACTGTTTGCGACAACCAGCCGTATTGCTCAGAGTCTAACCAACGACGACCATGATCTCGCGGGCCTATGTGACCCAGTCTCCTGGTCAGGGTTTTTGTACCCTTATGCCAGGTCTTCGTTTGACCGCTCTTGACCTTTTCCAATCACTATCTGCCTCGGTAAACATCGCTCGCTGCGGCAATCTATCCGGTGACATGCGTAACACATGCCCCAAACAACGTAATCTATGGAGGTCGATCACTTGCTCCAGTGGATGACCGCGACTGTCTAAAACTCAACGCCTAACCTCAGCATTACTCGTCTGGTTACCCCACCAGACTCGTGCACTGTGCTGTAGACAGCGGTGTTCGAACACCGACAGTCTATTTTTATCCTGTTTCCGTAGTGGTTATGTCTATTCGCGGTAGAGCAGCGGGGCAGTGTGTGAAAAGCACAGTTCATTGGGAACCGCGTTCACATGCCCTTTGGACGCTGTCACGTATGCAGTGTCCGATACACCTCAAATTTTGATCAACTCTCTGACCACAGCCACAACCAGGAAGGTATGTAATTAAGTCCTTCGTACGCTAATTTTCGGTTGGTTAGGAATCACGCTTTTTAGCCAACTCCCTCTACCCGTGGTTCACTCACCAGTTATAGCCCCGGATGTCAGCCTTTTGTCCTCTAACTTCGATAGAAAACATAGTTACTTAGATACGGTTGTAATGACTTCATCAGTAAGAGTTATTTAAAACATTTGGAGCATTTCGTGAAGTTTAAAGAGTGGCCAATCACTACCATTTGCGATTTAACACGGGTCAGAAAAAAATTCTCAGTAGTAGTTTCACTTGATCAGGCAGTGTGATCCATTGTAACCAGCACGACGAGACTGGACCTTGACGTCGTGTGATGGCTCGTGCACGTCCATGACCCTGTAAGCTCTACAGGGTGAGTTTCTATAGCTTTGAGTTTCATCATGCCTGAGAGGACCATGATTGGTGATGACGCAGTGGTTTAGTCTCTATCACCGGCGTGCTTTGGGTCCTGAGGTTCGAGGTTTGAGCCCCCTGCTATCACCACCCAACTTTGGTGGTTAACAGCTTTGCTGTCGGCGGGTTCAATACCACACCTAACCTAGTGGGGCTTTATGTGGTTTACTTTCCAAGTCCAGAAGCTTAGGTTACCGGTTTTCATCAGTGAACCACAAGCCTTTGTGGATATGGAGTTTGCCCCACCTGCTGTTCATCATACAAAATTTATGTAATAAAACGTTTTTAGAGGCCAGACAAAGCTCAGTCTCATATGGCGAGCTGCTTGGACACCTAGCTTCCTTTGAATATCCCCTCTCGCTCCTGGAGAGATCACTTCAGCGAATAACTCCGTTGGGGAGAGGTACATGGAGCGTCCTCCCGACAGTGGAGAAGTTCTCGCACTTCATTCTGCGGCTATTGCCCGCCCACGTGGGGCAGTTCCAGCCAGTTAGGTGCTGTCCCATTCAGGTTCCTTTTCTGTCATTGGGTGCCTGAGACTAAGGGGCAACCCTGAACAGGGGACCGAGAATCAACGCACCAGCGAACAATATACTGAACCGAAAACCTTGTTTGATGGGTCTCTGAAGCTCCCACACGAGTGCTTCGGTCATGCTCGCGTTGGATCTCCGCCCCACTTCTTTG